AGGACCAAGAGAAGGGGAACAAGAAAACCAAGGCACTCAGGGCTTCGTCGAAACATGACTTCATGGCTCCTCCGATCCTCACCGTGAACTACAAGGGGCATGCCTTTCGTGTGCTATACGAAGGTTTGGGAGGCAACACGTTGTGGGTCGAGGCTAAGGAGGACACCCTGCGACTGTTGAAGAAGTTCTTGTCTGAGTCCAAGCCCAAGCCCCGTTCCAAGCCCAAGGCCAAGGCCAAGGTTAAGCAGGCAGCGAAGTCCCCGAAGAAGCGACGACAGTTGCACAAGACCGACAGCAAGTGAGCCGGACATCAGTGTATATGTATATATCAGCTGGGAGGCATGTTGCAATCTTGACAGTGCCGTCATGCCGAGGGTTCACAAAGGGGGTGCAAGTGCATGATGCATGCAATGAGTTTTCGAAAGAGGGGGAGAGAGAAAACGAGAGAGAGAGAGAGAGAGAGAGAGAGAGAGAGAGAGAGAGAGAGAGAGAGAGAGAGAGAGAGAGAGAGAGAGAGAGAGAGAGAGAGAGAGAGAGAGAGGTGTGTGTGTGTGTGTGTTGTGTATTTCTGAGTTTGTGCATTGTATGCATGGCATGCATGGCACGAAAACCTCTGGTGTGCAGCACTTTTGGCTGCGAATGCATGGTGCTTGGGCATGGAAGTTCACATGCTGCATGCGTGGTAGGGCATGCACAGGCATTCACAGGCCACTTTGCAGGCACTTCGGTAGGATGGTCATGCTGAGTGCCTCGATGGCCGGGGGCGACGAGGAGGAGATGGCCTTGTTCGTCCAGCTTGACCTCCTGGAGAGCTTCCAGCCGATGAAGAAAGGAGCCTCATAGTTGTCACTTTGAACTAAAGGTTTTTCATGCACATGCAGGACGATGGGGAAACACGTCCTCTCAGTTCCGGTGGACGAAAGCCTCCGGCTGGAGACTGATCAGGTTGGAGGTGGGTTGTTGCCGCTTTTGCAGCCTTTGGTATCATCCCTCTATATACTTTCTTCCTGTTGCAGGATGGACAGGGCTTCTGGTGCCATCCAGACATGGGTGCACCTCAGCCCCCGGCTGAAGGCACCCAGATCAACACTCCGTTAGAATATTTACAAAATAAACCTGTCAGGCTGGCAGTTCTGGAAAGACGGGGACTGGCAAGAGTCCGGGCTTTCCTTGCTGCAGATCGTGCAGACGGATGACGAGGTGGAGGCCGGATTCTCTTCACATTGCACTGATGTAATTATAAAAGAACCATGCAGGATGTCGATCCAAAGCCGGAGCCGGCCAAGCCCAAGGAGAAGTGGCTGCTGAAGGATAGAGCACGAGTCTCAGACTTCAAGCGAGCACATTGCCCTGCTGAGCCGGACCTCGAACGACAAACCAAAATTGTGTGCAACATGTGTTTAGGTGAAGAAGCAGAAGGCCGTGCCGAAGAAGAAGGACCAGCCTTCGGATGCCATGAACTCGGTCATGCGATATCCTCAGACCCTCATGAGGGCAGCATGCAGCCACGGGAGCCGGTAGACCCGCCACGACGTGGCCAGGAGTGCAGCTTTCATTTTATGCTAAGTTCAATCGTGTCGAACCATGCAGGACTACATGGAGCCCAAGCCGAAGACCAAGCAGCAGGTCAAGGACCCATGGACACCACCGCCTCCCCCCCCCCGCCCCCCCTGGCGACTAGTCCCTACAACAACCGGAACCCCGATACCACAACCAAAAGCCCTGTACCGCAACTGGGCCTGGATTTGGGCAAAACCCGAAACCACCATATCACAACCAGCTAACAAGCTTAGATTTTGCCATATTTTATATGGTTTCCAATCTGATGGTCAACCTTTAAGGAAACACATTCATTTTTGGAAAAGATGCAGTTGCAGTAGGTACCGTTCTTCGTCCAGATGCTACGATCTACTGAATATTCATAATGAACAAGTAAGACCTAACGCTAAAGACGGGCCTCTATGCTATTGAAGGTTTGACTCCAAAACAGTAGAGTTGGTGGTGTTGCTGGTGTTTGGTAGTGGTGCTGGTGTTTGTGGGGGTCGTCATCGGTCTCTGAGTCTTATCGGGAACACACGGGGTAACCACACGAACCCCACACAGGTCCTACGTCAGAAAGGGTGCCCTGAAGCCCTGAAATCCGAAGGGTTTAGGAGCAGTGAGGAACAACAAGCCTAAAGGCATACGGGCAACCCAACCCCACGACCCCAAGACCTTGAACCTAGAGGTCTAAAAAACCCTTCGACCTGTACACCCTGCTAAACATTCGACAATGCTACACAAGGCTCCAACAGACCCCTTAACAACGGGATACTGTCCACACAAACCTATACTAACCAAAGAAGAACATTCCAGTTGTAGTAGGGACCATTTTTTTGTAAATAGCTGCTGAGTTGTAGTAGGGTCCACTTTCTGGTTGCAGTATAGGGCTTCTGGTTGTGGTATCGGGGTTCCGGTTGTGGTAGGGACTATTTCCGCCCCCCCTGCCACCCCCACCGGCGCCGGAGCCCTTCCCACCCCCGGCACCTCAGGTTATGCAGGGGAAGGCAGGGCATGCACATTAAAATGTTGTGTCTCTTGCAAACTGGATGCACTGTTGCAGGCTCCGTTGGCTGGCCAAAAGCGGCCATTCCCAAAGGAGATGTGCAAGGCCGACAACAGCGGTCGAGGCCTTGCTTGTCCTTGAACGATGTTGCTGATGTTGCTCCGGTCAGCAAAGAACAACAAACATTGCAGGCACCTATGTGCGGGGCTTCGTCGACAACGGGGGCCAGATGTGGGCCCCCGGATCCGGCCGTGCGAGGGCACGAACCCGTGGCCGGGGCGGTGCTGGGAAGCAGGCGGGTGTATACCTTCTACAAACCCAGAACCCCTATAAACCTTGACCTGGTCAGGGAGATGGTGGCCACACTCCCTTGGACCACCGGCTGGTGGATGGCCTGCTCCAGCACATATATAAACTGTGACGGAGGCCAGATCCAGCCAAGCAGCCATGGATGACTACGAGGAGTGAGGCCTGGGACCCAATGTGCTCCGATCCTGTGCGCCTTTTGTGTGCTCTGCTGCATATTTATGCACAGGTCCCATGGAAGAGGCAAGTCGGTGGCTGAATTGAAGCTTCACCCTCGATTTTCAAGTCTGATCTCTGTCCTACAGGCAGCACCCGCTGGAGCCCACAAGCCGGCTCCACAAAGTAGCCCTCACCCCCATCGCTCGACAGGCATGGGATTGCTGTTGTGGGCATTTTGCCTGCTGCCCAGCCACCGACAATCCTGACAAGCCCGAAACCCTTAAGCCCCTAAACCCTGCCAAACACGAGCCCCTTCGAGGCCCGTGGAATCCTGCTGGCTGTTCTCGCCACCTCTGCTGCTGCCTCAATATGATCCAAGTTCTTCTCCACTGCACATTTCTTCTGACTGCAGGTGGGAACAGCTGCAGATGAGATGGCTGAAGCGGGTAGCCTGCAAAGGGTTTCGTGCTGATAAGGGAAAACCACAGGAATATAGATTGATACAGTTCCGGGCCCGGGGCAAGGGGCCACCATATAGATTGATATGGTTCGGGGCCGTGGGGAAGGGCCCACCATATAGATTGATATGGTTCGGGGCCCGGGGCAAGGGGCCACCATATAGATTGATATGGTTCGGGGCCCGGGGCAAAGGAGCACCATATACATTGATATAGCTGTGGTTTTGGGGTTCTAATAGAAGACTATAGAAGCAGGGTCGTTGCAGGCTGCTAGGCCGTCTATTGGCAGGGCCAGGAATGCTGATAGTTCCCGCAAACCCAGACCCCACAAGCCCAACAAGCACACTGAACTTCTTGGCCCAGCCTGAAATTGGAGAGCTGTGTCCCACTGCAGGCAGGGTTCCATGGACTCCCAGCACAACATGAACCCACTATATAAACCCGAAACCCGGACCCTAAAACCCCATAGAAAACACAAACCCTAAACCCCAAACCCTATAAAACCCAGACCCGATCCCTAAAACCCTATATCCCTCGAAACCCCAAACCCTAAACCCCAAACCCTAAAACCCTCAACCTCAGGATCCATATCAGGCCTGTGAAGCCTTCAAGCCCCAAGCCTGCCTGCCTGGGGCGCCTTTTTCTTGGGGGTCGTGCTATAGCTCCATAATATATTTGGTTGTGCCCTGAAACCTGATGTTCTATATATGCTTTTATGTAGGATATGTTAGAGTTAGGGCTTCTGTTTGTGGTTGGTCATACATATATGTACATGAACGGGGCTGCCTTCATATTTACATAGCCATATATTATGTATACTATACATTTATAGCTGGTCTTGGGTTGCACGACTCCACATAGAGAGCAGCTCCATCCCTTTGGAGAGGATGCTGCACCCGGCTAACAGCTTCAGTTATCGTGGCATTATATCACATAATCTATAGTTCTCTGCTCTAGCTTTATAAACCTGGCAGTGTATACATACTCCATAGGCATGGGTGCTAGAATGGCACTGCTGCCTGGGGCAGGCACATGCAGCTGGCCCACAGAAAAAAGTTGAGGAGACTCGTGTGAGTGTGTGTGTGTGTGCCTGTGTGTGTGTGTGTGCAGAGAGACACAGACATGCAGACAGTGACAGAGAGAGAGGATATACACCGACAGAGGAGAGGAAACAGAAAGATAATAAGAAAGAAGCACGTGCAGGGTTTGCTGGATGATGGGTTGCAATTGATGCACTGCAATGGTGCTGCATGCATGCATGATAATATATAGTGCTGGTCCTGCTGCTTTCGGTCTGCACAGCAACATGCAGTGACCACCATTTCTGCTGGAGAATGCATATGTAGGTTGGCACCATCTGTCTGAGATGCACAGCTGCATGCAGTGGCACCGTTTTGTGTTGGAGAATGCATCATGCACCACTGCCAGTGTCGCTTTGCAGGGCAGATGTTGCTCGCAAGCAGGTGTTCGTATGTAGCCGGCTTTATCTCGAGTGTTGTGTGTTTCTGCCTCCCAGCTTCAGCTTGCCTGTCATGGTTGATGCTCTTCTCGCACACATGAAAAGCATCGGGGAGTTCTTGCAGCACACCAACAACATGGCCCCTGATGTGAAAGAGAAGATCGCACAGAACCAGCTCGACCAGCTCTTGCACAAGCTAAGTCTCATCAATGTTTTGACTGCAGAGCAGGCGACAACTTTGTCCGCCAATTTCGAAGGCAGCTGCTTCAGTGACAGCCATCGGGCGACATGGGTTGAAGCAGTCTCATCGAAGATCGCTGCCGGCAGCCGAAGCTCTGGCAGGAAGCCGAACCAGGTGTTGCTCCATTTCGGAGCCTATCTCACCCCCGGCGAAGTTCAGCTGCTGCAAGGCGAGGGCAACCTGTCTGTCAAACTGGATGCCCTGGTGAATCGCTGCATGCTCATCGGGTTAACCAACCCATCGGAGCAGACCATCGGGCACATCATTACCATAGGGCGACAACATGGCATCACCTGTACTGCGACAGAAATCTTTGATCTTGTGCAGGAGTTTAAGCGACTCCTAAAGAACAGGCGGAAGAATGCTCCGTCGTTCAGCATGCATCTGCAATATTATCCGGGGGATCCGATGCAGATGCCGACTGAAATCGTGAACTCCGCATACACCACCGAGCAGCCGCTGCCGCTGCAGCAAGTCGTGCATGTTCCTCTTACGAGTGCCCAGTCGCAAATCGTGCTCCGCCGAAGCAGCAAAGCGGTGAGAGACACTTTGCCGGCGAGGCAGCAGGCCTCGGCATCTGCCAACATGTTCGGTGCCCCGGATGCTGCAAGGACCATGTTCTCCATGATGCAAATGTTGCTGGGAATAATGCAGGCATGCAGCAGGGCAGTGGCCAAAGCTCGGGTTTGCAAGGTTTGCAGGTCTTTGGTACGAGGTCGAGTGGTTCGCAGAGCAGCCAGCAGCAGAATGCATCGGGTCAGCAGGCGGCCCTTCCAGCCTTGCCCCCGAATGCATCGTCGGTTCAGGCGGCCCTTCCGGCCTTGCCCCCGAATCCATCGTCGGTTCAGGCAGTGCCCCCGAATCCTTCGTCGGTTCAGGCAGCCCTTCCGGCCTTGCCACCGAATCCATCGTCCGAGCAGCAGCCTTCCCTTCCGTGCAAGGACCCGTCCACATTTGAGACGGACTTCGACAAAGAAGTTGCAGAGAATATGAAGCTCGTCACCGATGCCTTGGAGGCCAAGAAGGGCAAGCCCAAAGGCAAGGCCAAGGCTAAGGCCCAGATTAAGCCCAAAGCAAAGGCAAAAGCCGTTGCAAAGGCTGCCACAAAGGCTAAGGCCAAAGCCACGGCCAAAGCAAAGAGTGCGGCAAAGTCGGATCGTGAGCACTATCGCTCTATGAGCAACTCGCAGAGGCTCCGTCTCCGCCCCACGGGGTGTGGGAAGTGCCGGTGGAAGCCGGGGTGCACCCCCTCATGCTTCGCCTGAGAAGCCTATGCAGCCTGCCCAGCAAGCCCAAGTTAGGGTGAGTGTTTTGAGTGCATCCAGAGTTGCTGATTTTTGGCGCTTTCAGCTGTCGATGCATGAGAACATGGTCCATCTTCGGCAGAAGTTTCATCGGCAGCTTTTCTGTACTTTATGTCAGTACAATATGCAGAACGATACAGGCGATGTTGCCTAGTGGTGACGGGGAGTCGCTCTCGCAACTGTGCACCAAAATTTGTGTGCATCCAGCTGGCATGCAGTATTCATGGATCGTTTGTGTAGGCTTGCAACATATAGATGTTGTTGCACCACTCACTGATGTCAGCTTGGTTTGCTTCATATTGCTCATGCCTGTTTGTATGTTTGTATTCTGCATGCAGGTCGCCAAAGCCTATGTCAGCCAGGACACCATGCACTGCATGGTTCAAAGAGATTGAAGTGGATGCATATTATAACCGCCTGGTTGCGAAGTCGCTGTGCAGGATCAAGCAAAGCAAGCAACTTCCGATCTTTATCGTTGTCTGCAGTGCAACTCGCATGCTTGATTTGTTTGCTGTCCTGCATGCATGCATGCCATGCAATGCACACATGCAATATAGTGTGGGTTGCTGTCATGCTGCATACGGCATTTATATAGTGAAGCTACACTGCATCCAGGAAGTTTCGGTCGAGTCTTTATGTTTGGATGTGTCAGTGCATGCTGTTGATTCCAACGTTCTCGCTTTTGCAGGGCTCTTATATAGCTCGCAAAGCAGGGACAACCATGGCTGATCTTGCCAGACTGGGACGACGATCCTATGTCAGTCTCAATGGCCTTGAGAATTTGTTGAAGGATTTGAAAGCCCTGGATAGATTGCCTGATGCATCTTCACGGGCAACCATCAAACGAGCCCGAGAAGCCGACTGCAAGGTGAATACAGCCCTGGGCCCAGTCTTTACTTCCTTGAGGATCCAGGTCAATGAGCTGGACCGTCGCAAGGGAATAACTTTTATGAGAGAGCACGAGCTGCCTTTCGTATCCTTGCCGGCCGTGCTCTCTCATGCCATTGGGACATCCGATGGCTTCAGAGAATTCTTCTTGGGCAGGCTCCGGGCATGCCCCAATGGCCCCACGAGCCCATGGAAGATTATTCTCTATGCAGATGAGATTACACCTGGTAATGCCCTGAAGCCACTCAACAGCCGCAAAATCCATGGCTTTTATGTCAGCTTTGCCGAGTTCGGGGCCGAACTATCATCCGAGACTTTTTGGTTCACTGTCTTGGCAGCCAGAAGTGAACTGGTCAACAAGATGGAGGGTGGCTTCTCAGAGCTTTTCAAACTGTTCATGACACGATTGTTTGAAGGGCCTTTCAACTTGAAGACAGGATGCATGCTGGATTTTGGCAATGGGCAGCAGCATTTGTTCTTTGCATCGCCCACAATCTTTGTGGCAGATGAATCCTGCATAAAGTTTGCTTGGGACCTAAAGGGGGCATCGGGGTCGGTGTGTTGCATGTTTTGCAGCAACATCGTTTCCCAGAACAACAGGCTTGATGTTCATGATGCCACGAATACCTTGGTCACCATCGCCGAAGTCGACGACTCGAAGTGGCGAGCACGTGGGGACCAGCTCCTGTGGGCCTCGCATGATCGTTTGGACACCATTGCTGGGAGTGGCAGCAAGGCCGAGCTGCAAAGGGTGCAGCAAGCTATGGGACTGAATCACAACCCTAATGGTCTGCTAGGATCCCGGTTGCTTGCACCGTCGTCTGTCACAATGTATGACTGGATGCATTGCTATTTGGTCCATGGCCTTTGTCAACTGGAGCTGGGACTCCTCACTCCGATGTTTTATGGTGCTGGGCACACCGTGGCAGCAATCTTAGCCTTCTTCAGCTCTTTCGAATGGCCACATGGACTCCGAGCACATAGAAGGGAGGTGTTGCAGATCTTCGAGAAAAAAGTTTCAGTGGGCGACTTCAAGTGCTCGGCTTCACAGGGCTTGAGTATCTACCCTCTTGTGCGGATTTTTGTGCTCGTCCATGCCGTCTCGCTTGTTGAAGCCACGGTCAGACAAGCTTGCAAAAGCTTCCTGAAGCTGTGCTTGGTGCTTGATCTTCTCCTGGAGGGGAATAAAGGCAATGCAATCAGTGCACAGGAGCTCAGAACACGCATCAGGGCCCACTGCGAAGAATTTTTGAAGGCCCACGGCGAAGATGCAGTGATTCCGAAGTTTCATTATGCATTGCATTTACCAGGCATGCTGCATCGACATCAAAGGCTCGTCTCGTGCTTTTGCCACGAACGGAAGCATAAACAAATCAAGGCCATCGCTGACAACCTCCACAAAGTCACGAACACTTTTGAGTACACCGTGATGATGGATGTTTTGGGAAAATCTTTTTTCAGCTTGCAGGAATACAAACTCTGGACTAAGCCTTCGCTGATGAAAGCGAAGCCGGCATCGGACCAACTTGTTGCAGAACTCGTTACTGCTTTCGGTGTTGCAGAGGCCTTCGGTTCCATGGTAGAGCTTGTGGCTGACTTCCAGCCTGGCCAGACATGCGAGCGAGGGGACACAGTTCTCGTTGAGACGATAGTCGCCGAAGTGTGGCTCCATGTGCAGTTGGCCAACGGTGAGGTGCACTCACTGGTCTCTGTATGGCAGTCTCTCGGCCAGAACAAGTTCAGAATTCGGGAGCAGCCGTGCTGGATCGCGACAAACACGATCAACAAGGCCGTGCTGCACCGAAGGTGCGATGGAGAGGCAATCATCGTGCCATGATCGGGCCCTGCAGGCGAGCAAACATGCCCTGCCATGCGAGCTGAGGCAACCTTAAGTTTTTCACCATAGCAGCATCATGCCACAGACCTTATGAAGGAATGAGCCTCACAAACACATTATATATCTTTTTGCACAAACTTCTTGCTATATATTTTTCGAGAATAAAACCCGTGAACCCGGTCTTGCCGAGCCTTTCTTTAGCAATATTTCCCGGCCCAGAATGCAAGTTAGCACACTTATACAACTTAAGGCACATCTGCTAAGTTCGCATACTATGTGTGTTAATTCTGTATTGCTAAAACAACTTAGTTTAAATATATGTCTACTTAGATAAGTATGGTAACAACCATATTTACTTAGCAAGTTATGCATATAGTTAACAACCCACCGCCCTTCCAAGTATTCAGCCACTGGAGTCGCTGGAGTCACTATCACTAGAATAGAATCATAAAATATGGTTTTAGTATGAGCATCAATTCTAAATAGAATCTGAAGTCTCGAGTCTAGGCTTCAGAGTCCGAGTCGACCTGTTGTCTAGATTCTAAATATTTAAACTCAATGTTCAGCATTTTTTTATTATACTTTCATCGGTCACTGTGGAATCCTGGAGACATTCAACTCCAATTCCAATACACCTAATCTACTAAGTCTTTGGTACTGACGCATGCACAACACACTATTCGGAGTATTTATGTTGCACACTGTAACATATGATGATACTGCCTACCTAGTATAGGTCCGAGGTGCAACTTGGGTGCAACTTGCAATGCTAGTGTGGCCAGTGACTAGTGTGGATAGCTGTACTGGCAAGATTCGCGGTGCGCGCATACAGTGCGCGCGGTGTGCGTGTACAGTGTGCGCGGTGTGCGTGCACAGTGCGCACGGTGTGCGCGTGCAGCGCGCACGGTGCATGCGCACGGTGTGTGCGTACAGTGCGCGCGGTGTGCGTACAGTGCGCGCGGTGCACGTGTACAGGGCGCGCGGTGCGTGCTTACAGTATGCGGTGCTCGCGCGCTTCATGCACATAGTCCGTGCATAGTCCGTGCGGGGCGCACAGGACGTGCATGCGAGTGTTATGAGGATTCCACACGAAAACATCTATATAAGTTCGCTGAACTTGCTTTATTTTCTTTCGTAAAACTGGTGTATTTGCTCCAATTTTGGTGTCTGTTGTTCTTCACAGTTGGTGTTATGTTCTCCAATTTTGGTGTCATTTCTGTTACAATGGGTGTCGATGTTATCAACATTGTTTTTTTTTACAAACTCGGTATCATTTTTGTCAACATTGGTGTCATTTCTTCCAAAATTGGTGTGGTTTTTGCTTTTTAAAGTAGGTGTTTATGTTCAATCTCAGTGTCATTTTCTTCAAAATTGGTGTCAATCTGTTGAATTCTGTACATAGGAACGCCCCACACCTTTGGTGAGCCCAGGCTACGGTATAGTATTGTATAGCTGCATACTATGTGACCGACGCAGCGCCTTTGGTTCAAGAGTAAAAGCGTGACCGCTCAGGGTTTTACAGTTTAACTTGGTAGCGGAGCAAGGAAGCATGAAGATCCAGGAAACCTGTGGGCCGAAGGAAACCGGATTGGAACCGGAGAAAGTACACGAGGATACCTGGAAACTGGACAGTAAATCTTGGAATTCGCCATGAAGGTGATCATGGAGAAGATGTACCAGGACCTCTTGCTATTTGTGTTTGGATTCTGTATGAGTATCACGCTGAGCCAAGGAAGTATTCAGGAAACAAGTTGCTTGTGGATGAACATGTCTCACCTTGTTATTCGACCGCAGCCGTTTACCCTCGAAGAGGAAATTTCGGATTGTGTATGGGATCAACTGTATCCCCAAGGATGGGAGAACGAGCGGAAGAAGGATCTCTCGTCCCAGCGGCAGGAACTATGGAACTCAACGACAGTGAGATCTTCCAGGATGAACCCCACCAGAAAGTGTCTCGAGTCACGGAACATGAACCGTTGCCTAGAGTGGCAAGGCCTGGACATGAAGATGTCATGGTGGACCGGACTACAGAGTTGGGAGAAATGCGGCAGAGTGCAGAAGAAAGGCGAGCTACCTTGGTGGAGCAAGCTAACCTCCTGCAGACGCCAGGAAGGAAAGCTGAAAGTACTCCAGCAAAGACTCCAGGGACAACTGGAGGAAAGTCGCGAGAAGAAAAGAAGAAAGAGAAGAAGACTGCCAAGAAAGAAGCCAAGCAAAGCCGTAAGGCCGAGAAGGCTAGGAAGAAACAGGAAGAAGAAGCCACCAGTCCTCAAGGTGTTCGACGTAAGCTGGATGAAGCTATGGAAGTGGCAGGATCGATTGAGAACGTCATGTTGCTTGAGAAAGAGTATAAGCGATTCAGACTTGACGGAAAGTATCAACCCCCCTTCCTTAGTATCTACAGCCGGATGTTGCAGAACAATCAGAAATTCAAACCCAGATCTTACTATGATCCCCCAGGAAAGGATCCAGAGACAGAACGTCTCGAAGCTCTCAAGGAAGAAGAAGAGAAGAAGTCCGAGGCAGAGTCTCGGAAGCGTAAACTTGAGGAGCTGGAAGAAAAGAAGCGTACCTTGGAGGCTGAGTCAAAGCGGAAGCAGCAAGAACTTGAGGATGAAGCAAAGCGTATCAGAGCTGTGGAAGAAGCTGAGCGGAGAGCCAAAGAACTTGAGGAAGCCAACCGTACGAAGGACAAGATCACTGTACCAGTGGAGACGGTGGATCCGGATGAATGGTACCGCAACAAAGCCCGTGAAGTCGTGGACAAGCTACGAGCTCGGAAAGACGAGCAAGTGGCAAACTCCCGTAAGGCCGAAGAGGATTGGCTCCAAGCTTGCAGGAATCTGGAAAAGGCTCAAAGCGGATTCCTTGTGGCATCGGAGAAACTGCAAAGTGCCATGGGACAAGCCATCAACATCGCAGCACGCCACGGAGAGGAAAAGAGTCTACTTCAGATCTTGCAATCCATCCACGATGGAACTACTCAAGCACCGGAACCAGCTGAACCCGCTGTTAAAGCGATGCCGCAGCCAAAGAGAATGCCCAAGTTGGGAACGGATGCTCAGGCTGGAGAGGATAAAGAGAAGAAGCTTCCAGAGAAAAGAAGGTCTGGAAAAGGTAAGAAGCAACCGCCTGAGGAAACCCCAGGATGGGAATGGACAGAAAGAATCTACGAAGAAGATTGGCACGAGAATCGCCCTCTACGAAGCGGAGAAGAGTACCTCCCTGGGTCAAAACCTTTCAGTTCAACTTGGACAAAGGAGTTGGTACAAATTCTCTCTGGATTGGCTATGCGCGGGATTGGAGAAAAGGACGGAGAGTATCAGCCCCTCTGGGAGTTCCCTTGGCAGATCACTTCGTATGAAGACTTTGAAACAATCCAAGCTCAGTTGGAACCCTACAGCGTACGACTCATCCCGTCTCGACGGGAGAGTAAGGGTGCCGGACGCTTCACTGAAGTATGGAGTATGCATCCTGCGGGAAAAGGCCGTTTGGACATCGAACCAACAGAGACCACCCGGAAGCGTACTGTGTATGGAAGCCTACCTCCAGGAAAAAGTTTGTGCTCGCTATGTTGGCATGGTGGACACTGGAAGAAGGCATGCAAGTTTAGCCAGCTATGCTTTTGCCTGTACGAGCCCATGCTCACAATATTGGATCGCGGAAACAAGACAAGGCGACTGTACCCGATGCGAGGAATCACTCGCCCCGGATTCCAAGGAGACACTACGAATCCGTACAAAAGATTTTTCCCAATGCTCGCACTTTGCGACTTTGGGAGTATGTCCAGGGAAGTCGCGGAGAGTAACAAGCGATTCTGGAAGCAGGCAAAGGATGAAGGAGGCTTTCCAGTGCTGTATAGAGAAGAGCAAGCCAACCGGAAGAAGGAGGCCAGCCAAGCTGCTACAGCAAAGAAGAAGGCCGAGCCAGAAAAGCTGAAGACTTTTGACAACATGTACACGCCCCTATTTTCCGGCTAGGTTTTGTAACCACGTGAACCTTTTCCACATGTCATGTGTCAGGAGTGCATATGGCATGGAACCGTACCGCAGGCTCTTAGCTGCTTGGAAAAGACCGTTCTTTTGTTCATGGTAGCGGAGCTGGTCTGTACCAGCTTCGGTCCACGGGGGTTGCGTTTAGGTTTCTGTGTTAGCAGGGGCCATCGATCTGTGAACCTTTAGGACTTTGTTCGGCGAAAGTAGGCGTAGCTCTGCTTGTCGCCATCTCAGCCACGGCCTGCACTTACAACTCAGTTGAAGCTGTGAAAGAGCGTGTGCGGCAACTGTACCTGGAACAGCTTTTGCAGAGACCTCGGCCAGCCGGCCGTACTGGACAAGGCTGGAGTGATATCCTTGCGGGTATACAGAAAGTTTTCCAGAATCGTTTGGATACTCTGCATAATATCCTGGACGTGCACCGCTTTGCACTTCGAGCGCTGAGAGATACGCACCTCAGAGAGGTGTATATTACTTCTTGTGCAGAGGACGCGGCTGAGTTTGCAGTGCCTAATTCTGTGGTGGAGCAGTTTGTTTTCGCAACTGAAGAGGGAGCCAATTTCGAGAGAGATCTACAATTATTTGATCAGACAACGCAATTTGCAAGTTTGCAGAAGCCCCTCGAGAACCCCATCGATTTGGAGCCCCAGGGTCGCAGAAAGTTTCGCAAGAAGCTGGGAAGTGCGACTTGCCCCGTGGAGATTGACCTTGATTGAGCCCAATACCATTTTACTTTGAACAATGGCAGCGATAGAGACAGACTCCGACGAGGAGCTACCAGCGCTGGAGCCAACGCATCCAGCGAATCCCTTCAGCCCCGTAGCGGCATCCCCTGCAGCTTCAGGGGGCCTGGCCATGACAGCCTCGGACCTTCACATGTTAATGCAGCGCATGTCGGAAGCCACACAGGCAGCGAGTGCAGCAGCCCAGGCGGCTGCAACAGCATCTTCTTCTGCAGGTATGGTCGGGGCCAGACCTTTTGGGCTGGGCGACCTTTCGAAAATC